GCAAAAAACACACCCAATAATGTTACTAAATCAGTAATTCTAGAGATTCCAGAAAGACATCGCGAAACGCTAGTAATAAGCTAAAAAGGTCTAGACTGACAATAATTATTTAGCTTCTTAACTGAAAGTACCCCTGGGAAAAAGGGTAGATTGTACTTTAAAAGCTAATCGATATTAGCATATATACTAAGTTAGTTCTATTTGCACAACTGACAATACCGAAGGTCAATCCGTCGCAATTACTACTGCTTAATTATACCACAAGTATAAAAGCGAATCCCAAGTTCCAAGCACTCCTCTGATATTAAGCTTGTACATTTGTACATCAAATAAACATCAGAAATCATTCAACTACTTGTTCGAGGACGCCTGCCTCTTCAAAAGGTGTATAACAATATTCTCAGCAAACTCTCACAAGTGCAAGAACAAAATACCGATTCCAATAAAATTGACTTTTGAAAATTTCAAGCTAGTTCTAATGTGACAAAGTTTGGGAGATTTCGATTTTCCCATCTTGCACACCTATCCGTGGTATTTACAGAAAGTCGCTCTTAACTATCACTGTTTTATCTCATCCCGAGACTCTTTGTGCATTGGTTGAACTATGCTGTTAAAAAAATCATTTAAAAAATTTTAAACGCACAGGATGCTTTATTCTTTCAATTGCACCCCAAGGCGGAGGCAATTATTTTACAAACACTCAGTATATGACATTTCCAAGCTATTTCAGTTAAGTTTTGATGTTCACATGTTGTCCCTTCGCTCTCGGATGACTGCAGATGTGTCTTGCAGAGTTCCACGAGGAGCTCACTACCCTGGTTCCATTTAACTCTTTTTTTGTAGGATTTTGCCTCCAGGTTTTCTTGAGCACAGTGTGTGGGCTCCGCCAAGTTTAAAAGTTGTAATTTATTCCGATAGAATACGGGCAGTCCCTCTTTGCCATTAGCGGCTATCGATGGCCGCTGTGCCCGAATAAAGGGCCATTTTGCGACCTTTTCTGAAGTTATAGAATTGATAAAAAAAACTTTTAAAGAACTCAGTTAGCTCTTACGCCCTGGTGCGCACAATCACGGACTTTGTTTCATTTTATTGTTCAATTTCAGGCGCGCACTTATTAGTTAAATTTTAATGACGTATTCTGTTTGGTCGCACGTACGATATAAAGTGTATTTAGGGTTTTTGAGTCGAACTAGACCTAAATTATTGCTTCGGCACTTAAAGAGGTTTTCTAATCGATTTTACGGATTTTTAGGGCTCACGGTTAGGATTACCGTCAGAAATGTGAAAAATCCAATAACGTAAAAAGAGCCTAGAGTCTAAACTCCACGTATGATGCACGATCCTCGCAGTAGAGCGCTATTTATGCAATAGCGAAAATCAGACCTGAAAAAAATGCTCTACAAAAGCGACACCCACAAAGCATCACCGAAAACATGTTTGACGACCTCCTCTGTCTTGAAGGGTATCCTGATCATGAAAGCAATATATTGACCAAACGAGGCACCCTCAGAACTATCATAAAAAAAAATCCTCAAGAATGGCCGAACCTGAAGATCCCGTATATTTCCGAACTACTTAACTACAAGATCAGTAACATTTTCCGAAGAGAGGGCAGACCAGTACGTGTCACGCGCACAAGTTATACATCCTCTAACGAGCACTCTCTCATAACAACACGGAATGGCCTACGGACATGTGCAAGGGACGAC